TGGAAGGCCAGGGGAAGATAATTCCAAGTTAAAGCCCAGCTTAGACAAATTTAGTGACTTAATGAAATAAAATAAAAGGGCCTATGAATGTAGCTCAGTGTGAAGGCTCTGGGTTTAATCCCAGTATCTTAAAAAAAAAAAGCAAGAAGGAAAGAAAGCCGTGGTGATATGGTGCGTGCAGTTGCAGTGTCCTAAGGTCATACATGCACAGCAGATAGGGGGTGGGCTTATGTTTTCTAACAAGGGCTCTTTCGATGTGTGACAGTATTAGGGTCGCCCCATCGATCTTTCTGGGCCACCGCATGGAGCAGTAATGAGATGTTTTATATCCATGTTGTCTTTAATACTCAAGGAATAGAGCACTTTTAATATGACAAATATAGGAGACTTTAAAAATTTTATTTCATTTCCATTAATTAAGCTTAAACTTACGTAAGGAAATGTAGTGCCTCATGTGAGGTCTCTGACATGAAAGCTCTCTTCCCATTGCTCATCCTTCCTTTCACAGTGGTAAGAGGGTAATCCAGGCTCATAGCTTAGTCTTCCTAACCGTCATTAAGTAGGCTTGTCTCCAGTTTACAGTACACATGAGTTTTGCTTGTTATACATGATGAAGAGGTTTCTTTTTCAGTCTTCATCATTTTTCTACTTTTAAATTTCTTGATTTCCTGGTATGCCATTTATTTTTGATTTTTAAATCCCGTGTATAGTGTCAAAACAATGATGTCCTTCAGTGTGTGTTCTGGCTATCTTTTTTTTTTTTTTTTTTTTTTTTTTTTAATCTTTATTGGTATCTGTGTGTTTCTCTCCTTTGTCACATGTGCACAAAGTGATGGAAGCCATGATGTCACACACCTGTAATCCAGCACTCTGGGAAGCTGAGGTAGGAGGACTGCAAGTTCAAGACCAAACTGGGGCAATCTAGAGACTTTGAGAGGAGACTGTCTTCTCAGAGTCATCTCTTCAGACTCAAAAAAAACTGAAGTGATTTTTTTTTTTCCTGTAAAGCAGATTATGCAACCAAGATTTACTTAATATTTTACAAGGGGCTGCCGTGCTATCAGCGAGCCAGGAGTTAATATAATCATTGTAATAGTGCTTGCTACTGTAAACCAGGGCTATCTGTGCATCAGTCTAAGGACTTTTTTTCTTTGAAGACTACCTTTTTAATTCTATTTTTGGGAAGCTTGGATTTGGGTCTTTCTCATTCCTTGACTATTCTGTGTTGAATTGTATTTTCATTTTCTGATTTCTTCTTTTTCTAAAAGACTTTGACTCTGAAATTTTTGGTTAGCTCTTGTATAAGGTGGGTTCATTCATTTCATAAATTCATAGTGAGCACCAGTTTGATGCTTGCCACCTTTCTGAGTGCTGTAGCCATGAGCATCAATGGCCAGGTTCCACTTATTACCTGATTTATTGTCTGTCCATTTTGGGAGATGGACAGTAAACAAGGAAATAAAATACTATCCAACAATGTTTTTTGAAGATGATAATTTGGTGAAGGATTTAATAGGCTTGATAGTTGCGGGACACTTCAGATTTAGCAATTAGGGAAAAGATGGCAACATTTGACATCTAGATATCAGGTGAGATCTTACTGCTTCCTCTGACAAGGTGATGCGAGGAGCTTGTTTTTCAGCTCTTTGTCTTTCAGCTAATGAACCTTTAAAGTTTTGCTTCATGGAAAGCACATTTCTTGCATGAATTCTTATCAGTAGAGTTTGGGATCTTTCCCCTCTTTGTCGTCCTGTCCTCGTGTACTCAAAGAAATAAATGCTCTCTATCCCTTTGATTCGTTCCCCAGTTACCTGCTATTTTTAAAATAAATACGTACTTCTCAACCTAACTGAACTTACAGAAGTAAGTCTCTTAACAGGCTTTAGGAATTGTACAAGGCTGATTTCAACTACTTAGCTCTTGCTTGTTTTGAATGCAGTTTTTTTGTCCATTATATATCTGTGTGTTCTGCAGAATGTTTTGAATTGGGATTTTATGTCCCTAATTTTTTTTTTTTTTTTTTTTTTTTTTTGTACCGGAGATTGAACTCATGATCTTGCACATGCAAGACAGGCATGCTTACACTGCTGAGCTGAACCCCTGACCCTATGTCCCTAACTTTTATAGCTAGGTTTTTTGCTATCAGGTGGCAACTTAATACCTTCACTGATCTTTTGCAGCTGTAGGTTCATATGATGTAGGCTAGGACTAGTGAATGAGAATTGGAGTTACTGTATAATGGTGATCACACATAGCAGTGTCTGTTTTTCTCTAAATTTGTTTCTTCATTTGTGGCCAAAACTTTTCATTTTTCCCATATTTAGATCAAAAACCAGGTAGCAACAGGAATTAAGGTAGCCTGACAAACACTTTCTGACATTAAAAGTGAATCCATGTCTTACTGCACATATTTTGGGTGCATATGCCTTATTTTTTTTCCATTGTGCAGGTCCTCCATAGAGCAGAACATCAGGACTGCATCGCACCCTGTAAACTGTGCTTGCTCAACCCGCAGAAATTTACCTCATAATCTCAGAATGATGAAAAAGCATTTAATAGAGTTCTCTAGTTATTCCTGATCTTAAAAACCATGTAGGAATAGATTTATACTTTGTAACCCTTTTTAAAAAAATTCCAATTAAAATACATTATTATCTTTAACATTTGAAACATTTCTGATAGAATCAAACATGATGCCTACTATCATCACAGTTGATACATGAAATTCTGAAAATACCAGCCAATATTATTTCAAAAGTGAAAAATATGTATTACTGCTGAAAAGGATGATTTATTATTTGAAAATATGATTATATACGGAGCATACAAATCACGATAAATTTCAGCATGTTTTCTCTTGTTCAGATAATATCTTACAATTCATTTATAATAGAAAGTAATGTGGGAAATAGCTTGAAATCAGCTGAATGTGTAAGATACCTTGAAGCACTTCTGTGAGATCTATGCAAAGACTAGGTCTTGATTGATCCTAACAAAATGACTGTGATATAGTGGTTCTAAAGTTTTGTCTACTTTTTTTTATTTTTAGGAGAATAGTAAAATTGAGAATAGTAAGAAGAATTCTAAAGAGAAAAATACCAGTGAATTTGGTAGCGGAACCCCTTTTCTTCCCAAATGTTCCTGAAACATGTTGTGAAAGCCTCAGTTGTTGAGCTAGTTTAATACTGACAGTGATACAGACCAATTAAACTGAATGGAGATTTTGGTAAAACAAAACAAAAATAGGAGTATGTAAGCAAATTTAGTGTATGTTAAAGTTGGGTTTATAAGACAGTCAGGGGACTGGCAGATTAGTCTATAACCTGTGGGAATTATTAACTAATTTAGGTAAAGATAAAGCTAATCTCTCCCTAATTTTTATACAAGAATAAAATTATGAATGGACCAAATATGCAAAAACTAAAAATGAATCTATAGAAGTAAAGAAAACAGTAGAAAATGTTTTAAATGAACTTACAACTCATTTACGTATTACAGTGAAATTTTCCAAAGCCCAAGTAAAGCATTGATACATTTGATTAGAGCAAAGTTTCATTAAATCAACTTAAATACTAAAGAACAAAAAATGATGGGGTAGTAGGAGATATAAGACACATCACACAGTTTACAAATATGTAAAAATGGCCAGGAAATGTGAAGTGATGCACAGTTTTTCTTAATGAGAAAGTTTAAGTTAAGACAATGTGTTAAACTTGTCAGACTGGCAGGGGTTTTATGCTTATTTCTCAGTAATGGCAGGGTGTGAAGCAATCCTATACATCATTTGTGGAAGTTTGAATTCATAGTATTTGGAGAAAAAAGTATTTGTCAAGTGTGAAATAGATTTTTAATATGGTAAGCCCACTTAAAGACTTTATCCCAGGAGTTACGGTAAACAGTCTTTACATATGTTGTACGTAATGGTAAAAATTTTAAAAGGCTGATAAATATATCAGGTGGTTGCTGTGGTAAATCATGGGGTTCCTATACAGCAGAATACAATGATAAATAAAATTTTGCGGATACTTGTTTTGATATAGAATGATGTGCGGGATATGATAAGCATAGGAAGGGTAGCATTCAATATGAACACTTAATGTTTTCAAATTAGATGTGCAGTTACAGCTGCATAAGAATGTATTAGAAAGAAACGTAAACTGGTAATAGAAGTTATCCTCCCAAATTAACTTGTAATGTACCACTTGGACTTTTTGCCTGCTTCAGGAAATTTTTTTTTTTTTTGATATCTTTTGATTGGCTCAAGGGCAGAAAGCTGTTATTTAGTCTAAAGGCTAAGGACAGGTTTATTCTTAGATTTCTCTTCATTTCTGCTTCAATATTTAATTTGTATGTAGCAACCAGGTTATAGTTTATAATTCAGTCAACAACAGGGAAATCTGTAGGTGTAAAGAATTTTTTTTTAACCTAGAGAGAAAAGGTATCAAGTCCCCCCTTCACAGCTTTTCTGTACTGTGTTGTTTCTGGGAATTCTGTGTTTGATAGGTGCCATTGCCTTTTCCCTGAAGAGGCCAAGCTGCTGCTTGCTAAAGCCACAGAAAAGATTACTGCTTGTGTGCTCTATTTAATCAAAAATTAATTAACTGATGAACAGTACAGTTCAAAGAAAGAACTCTCCTGTGGAGGAATTGGAGTTACCAGTAGAATTCTTTATCTCCAAATGGGATATCTCTGGATTCCTTAATTTTTCCTCTAAAAAGAAAGGAGAGTCTCTTGTCAACTGTGGTTGGAAAATATCTAGAATGGTGCTTAGGCCTGTGTTCTCAGTGTAACTGGATTTAGGCTGTATGTTCTAGATCCATTAAGTCATTTTAATGGAAGAATTGCTAACAGAAGACTGTAGCTAATAAAAAGGGTACTATCAAAGACATTTTAAGCATTTCGTGTTACATCTTCAGACATGCCTTTGTACATCAAGTGGAAAAGGCTTCTCGTTTTTAAAATTAAAGCTAGAGGAAGATTAATGCTTTTTTGTATTATAGGAACTACCTTCTGTTGAAGAACTCACTATTATTTTGCCTGAAGATATTGAATTAAAACCTCTCGGGATGGTTTCAAGTATTATTGAACAATTAGGTATGTAAATAATTTCATTAACAAAAATCGTTATGTCCTAGCATGCACTAATAATCAAATCAAGGCCTTCAATGACTAGTAATTACCTTTTAAATACATAACACTTCATTTTACAGTAATTAAACTTAAAGGAATAAACTTTAATTTTTACTTACATATAATACATTCCGTTTCTCTATAAAGGAGTTTATTTTTACTGACCTCTTTAGAATTTTCTTTATTAGTTTTGTATTGCTGTTACAACGGATAACCACAGATTTAGTGACCTGCAATAGCACAAATTTATTATCTTATCAGTCTGTAGACTACAAATCTGATGTGAGTCTTTGGATCTTGGTGGGCTAAAATCAAGGTCCTCAGCAGGGCTGAGCTCCTATTGGAGGTTCTTGGGGAGAATCCATTTCCTTGCTTCTCTTGTTGTCTAGACCCTGCCTACATTTCTTGGCTCCTGGCTGCCTCCTTCATCTGTAAAACCAGTAGTTTACCATTTCTCGCCGACCTTTCCTTCATTGTGTTTCCTGACAGCCCTGGAAGATTTTCCATGTTTCTTCCATCACAGAGTTTTTAACCTTAGCCACCTGCAGTGTCTCCTTTTAAAATGTAAGGTAACATTTTCACATGTCAGAGATGAGAGTGTAGATCCTGTTGGAGGAGCCATTCTCTCTACCATATTTGATTTTATTTCATAAATACATAAATTAGAAAGCTTTGTGTTCTAATTAATATAGACATAATATGGAGACAACTGGTTATTTCAGATTTCGTAGGATTAGTTATATGAGAGACCTTAACATTAATTTGGGTCCCCTTAGCTCTTGTAGCAAAATACAGCTGAGACTACAACCAGCAGTCATAAGATTTTTGAATGAGGAAAAGAAGCTAAATGTTTCTTGACCCTCTTAGTTTATAGATCCTGAGAACACAGAACAATTAAGTCATTTATTCAATGATCAGTAATATGAGTCGTTGGTTGAAATAGAGTATTATCCTTTTACCTTTTCTAATTATTTCCATGTCAGTATTTTTTAAAAATAGACACCATAATTTTGTAATTTAGACTTTGTAGTTTAGAATTTAAATTAAGAAGAAATATCTTACAAAAATTGTGATAATTAAAACTGCATCATTTCCAGGTTATTGCATTTCTTAGTATTTTAATTACTTGTGGTATTTAATAATATGCATAGACAAATTAAACAATATGGCTTGATTATATCAGTTAAGTATTAGATTGAGTGTATACAGATAAATTGGTATACCAATTATATGATACAGTAATACTTTTTAAAGATACAATTAGGATTAATACATTGCAAAAGTATAACAGTTCTATCCTGGGAGTAATAAAGAGAAAAAGTCAAAATCAACACATGCTGCTGTTGTATACTGTTGTATTTTGAAAGCATAAAATATGTAACATCATTTTAACCAAATTACAAAAAAAGAAATACTCGTGTATTAGGCATAATCTTTGACCTCAAATAATCTAAATTTGAAAAAAATAATAATTTGACATTGTACTCTGTAGTTCCGTATGCCATCCTGTGATTTTGTTTTGCTTTAGTTTGGAAAATACAAGAGGTTAATCAGTTATTATCCATCAAGTTAGAAGTTGAGAAATATCACAGAATTCATGGTCTTGCCTAGAACAGTGATGGCAAACCTCTCAGAGCTTTCAGTGATACCAACACCCTGCTTGGCATACCTGCTGTAGGTTTGCCACCACGTCCTAGTGCATACTTTCAGCGTATGAGTTTGACGACCTTGAACACTTTTTGTCAGTATGTGATACGGACTCTTAAGTTTATTTATACCCAACTCCCTGTTACTGCCTGCTGCCAGAATCATCAGATAACGAACGGGTCTGTAGAAAGAGATGCATAGTGTGATATGGAAAGCTCGAGAACAAGGCCCTGATGCTGTTTCTGGAGCTTCCTATGTGCCAATGCAGACATCTTGAGTCCTTTTTTTAATCTTTCTATAAAGTGAGAGGATTGGATTAGGCAACCTTTCGTTTTCTGTAGTTTGACTTTTAGAGCAAGGAACTAGGGGAGGAGTCATGATTACAAATGAATTTTTACCCTGTACTGTTGTTACTAATCTGACGAGAAGCAGATTCTATTCAAAAAATGTTGACCCATGATCTGTTATTTATATGTGTATTCAGAACTAACAAGCAGTAACTTAGAAATTAATTGGAGTACAAAAAATTCTTTGAATTAATTTTAATAATCTGAGCTGACATACATATTTTATTCCCCAATTGCTAATTGTTCAAGAATGTGTATGTGTCTGTCCGTCTTTGCCGTCGTAGATTAGTACTTCGACACTTAAAAGAGTTGGAGACTGTGCTAAACCAAATGGAAAATACTCTTTTTGTTTTTAAGGAGCAAAGTTAAATACAATGATGACAGCTACTGTGAAGTCTGTCACTGCTACTTCTCTTTTCAAAGATGATGTTTCATTAAACATTAACCCAACTGCCTCATTTATTTACTCATAAATAACCAGTGCTTTATAGGGAAGAACTATAGAGTAAAAAACAAGACTAACTTACAGAATAGGAGTTTTGTTATTAAATGTGATGATACTATTGTTGGTAAACGCTGCTTCCGAAATATATATTGCTCGAATATGATGACACTTTAAAGGGTGATTTGAATTTTCTCTTTTAAAGCTCAGTATTTTTCTTGGAATATTTGTATTGAAATATTTATAATCCATTTCTCTGTGCTATTTGATAATTTTTTATTGGAGAGATTATTTTCATCAAATTTATTTTAACTTACGTTGGGATTAAGCTTAAATTCTTACTGTATTTCTATATTATGTTCTGATTAAATCTTGAAATGACATTTGCTTTAATTTTTCAGTAATAATCGAATCTATGAGTAACCTACCTCCAGTTAATGAAGAGACTGTAATTTTTAAAAGTGATCGACAAGCAGCAGGAAAGGTTTGTTAAAAAATTCAAATGATACAAATTATTCTATATCTTAGGTTGATGTTTCTTTCTATTGGTTCTAAGCAGAGTTTATTAATTTTGTTAGATGAACAATGTAGAGTTCTCAACTTTAACACATTCTTGATTTCCTTCAGTACTTAGTGGCTGTCTCTAAATTGGCTTATTCATCTTCCATGTTTAAGTTGTTACATAGTTATGTAGAATTCTTTGCTAATGTTTACCAGGCACTTTGCTAAGCAGTAGGTCTAATTATAGAGTAAGACAGTTCTTTCTTGCCAGGCCTTTGGAGCCATGTAAAGATTTTCTGTATTACTGTAGTAACCATTTTTAGTTGGTGAGCCCCTGTTAGTAGTGGCTCTCAAACATGTTAGACTTGGCTGTCTTGTGTGGAATCTTTCAGGTGGGAACAGATTTTGGTGACAGGAGGGAAATGTCACTGTCAGTACAAGCTAAGGACTTAGAAACATGGAACCACCATGTGGTTGGGTCCCTTTTAACATCTTCCTAGTGGAACAAGCCTACATGTTTATCTTTAGTGTAGAAAACCACACTACCAAGCAAGTAGGCAATCCTGAGCAGTAGAGACTGTAAAACCTTCTGAAAACAAGAATGTGAGTACTAACCAAGTGTTTGTTTCATGTTACATGGGATAGTTTTATTAACGTCTGTGTGCCCCGCTGTACTTTACACAGTCTTGTGTTTCAGCTGATAAAATTAGTTTAAGTTAAATCAGGAAAAAGCAGATACGTTGCACTATATACTGGGTCATCCTAACTGACTTTTTCCTTTTCTGCACTTTTTCCTGATTTTATTTTTTTGAAACAGACTCAGCTTATATAGTTTAGGCTGCCATGAACTCATTATGTAGCCCTGGCTGGCCTCAAACTCATGGCAGTCCTCCTGCTTCCACCTCCCAAGTGCTGGGATTTCAGGTGTACACTATCACATGTGGCTTTGTAATGTGATTCAGAAATAGGTCAGGTTTTTATTAGTCCTATCACTTACCATCTCCATAAGTTTTGTAGGTTGATAGGCCAATTTAACAAAACAGTGGGTCACTCTGTTACAAAGTTAATATCAAAATTCACTAGTCAAGCAGTAATTTTTTTTTTTTTTGCAATTTTTTGCAGAAGATCATGAAGGGAAAGAAGACTTGTAGTGTCTAAAGCATGCTTTTTTTTTGTTCCTTTCAGTTACTTAACACTTAGTATGTTTATTACACATACAGGTCTCAGAACTTTTGATGAATAGGAAGAGTTCTAAAATGTACAATCCAACATTTACTGCTCTTGCCTTTTTAAGGGGTTAAGGCTGAATCATAGCCATGGTGCAAGGGAAAGGAATGGGAAGTGAATGTGTGATTATGTTGTGAGCAGCTGCTCCTATCCATTGGTCTCTTAAACCAATCTACTGCTTTTAGCAACAAAACATGTCTTATCTTCAAGAAAGTAGTAACGGGGCGGATCTGGGGTGCCTGCATCAGCCTCCCTGTGTGTTTGGAGGACTGTGGATGTCTCAGCGGGTAGTGGAGCATCGCAGATTCCGCAGGCCCTGTGGCCTGTGGTGAGTGCTGAGTGCACTCTGCCCAAAGCCCAGACTGTTCAGGACCCTCCAGGCTTCCGGGTGCAGTGAAGTGGAGAAGTGGGTTTGAGGCCTCTACACTCGCCTCCCCATCCCGGCTGCACTTGGAGAACTATGAAGCTTCCAATAAGTAGGCAGGTGCACGCTATCCTGTTTAGGACTCCTGCACCTCACCATCGGTGTGCAGAGGAGGGGCTGGGCAGATCTGGGGCGGCTGCATCAGCCTCCCTGTGTGTCTGGAGGACTGTGGATATCTCAGTAAGCAGGGGAGGATCGCAGGTTCCAGAGGCCCTGCAGCCTATGGTGAGTGCTCAGCTCACTCTGCCCAAAGCCCAGACTGTTCGAGTCCCTCCAGGCTTCTGGGTGCAGTGAATTTGAGAGGTGGGTTTGAGGCATCTACATTCGCCTCCGCATCCCGGCTGCGCTTGGAGAGCTGTGGAGCTTCCAACGGGCAGGTGGGCGCACAGTGTCCCTGAGGCCCAGCTTATCTGGAACTGCAGAGTTCTGAACAGACAGAGGAGGGCCATTGGTTCTATAGGCCCAGTGGCTTGGGGTAACGGGGTGCCAGAGTCTCAGGAGCTGCAAACATAGAAGGGGATTTCCAACAGACCCTGGGGAAGCTTTCAAATAACACTTGAAACACAGAAATATAAGAAAATGACAAAATGAAAGACCACATTACAACCTCAAACCTCCAGCCCATCTCAAGAAACCCTAGGAGCAATGTATATAGACGAAAATATATGCCATTCACCTCAAATATCGGACACAATACCTACTGAAATTAACAAGCAACTCCAGGAAGCTTTAAAGAAATTCAAACTCGAAATAATCTCCCAGGTAAAAGAAGAAATGAAAGAGATTCTGAATATATCTAAAGAAAACACAGATAAAAAATTGGAGGAACTAAACAAAAAGATAGAATCCCTAGACGAGCAAAATAAGAAACAAACAGAATACATAATGCAGATGCACAGAGATATACAGGAAATAAAAAACTCACTGGAAGTTGTAAAAACCGCCTTAATGAAAGTGAAGATAGAATTTCAGAACTTGAAGACAGGATTGCAGCTAGTGAACAGGAAAGGAAAGATCTTTTAAAAATAAGGAATCAGGAGACAACAATTCAACAACTGCAAGACGATGCAAAGAAAAATAACATAAGAATGATAGGGATTAATGAAAAAGGAGGAGACAACATAAAGGATGTCAAGAGGATATTTAGAGAAGTGATAGCTGAAAATTTCCCAAGCATGAGATCAGAAACCAACATCAGGATCAGTGACGCATATAGAATTCCAAATGGTCATAACCAAAATAAAACTACACCCAGACATATAATAATAATCACCATCCCAGAAATCCAACACAAGAATAGATTATTAAAAGCTGTCAGAGAGAAAAGACAGATCACTTATAAAGGAAAACCTATCAGAATCACAGCAGACTTCTCAGCACAAACAATAAAGTCAAGAAGAGCATGGAGTGAAGTATTCCAGATCCTAAAGCAAAATGATTTCCAACCTAGACTGGTATATCCTGCAAAACTATCATTCAAAATTGATAGTGAAATGCGATACTTCCATGACAGAGAACAGCTGAAGGACTTCATGATCACCAAACCAACCCTGCAAAAAAATATTGAAAGACAGTTTAGATACACAAAGGAAAAAATCCACTAAGCAAAGCAGATAATTAAACGGAACGGAAAGATAAAGATGCAACAGCAGAGAGATAACATGTCAATAATAAACCAGCATATAACAGTAATAACCATTAATGTAAATGGTCTCAATGCACCAATCAAAAGAAACAGACTAGCAGAATGGATCAAGAAACAAAATCCAACCATATGCTGTTTACAGGAAACCCATCTAACCCAGAAGGATACTCACAGACTGAAAGTCAAAGGATGGAAAACAATACTTCATGCAACAGGAATCCAAAAAAAAGGCAAGAATAGCCATTCTGTTTGCAGACAATGTGAACTTTAAACCAACAATGACCATAAAGGACAAAGAAGGTCACTACATACATAAGAGGAAAACCCAAAGAGGAAGAGATAGCTATCTTAAATATATATGCACCAAACTCCAGAGCACCCAGTTATATAAAACAACTATTAACGGAAATGAAAACTCAAATTATCAGTAACAAAATTGTAACAGGAGACCTTAATACGCCATTGACACTAAGGGACAGATCAACCAGACAGAAAATGAGCAAAGAAATAGAACTGAATCACACCTGCGAACAAATGGATTTGATAGACATATACAGAATGTTCCACCCAACAACATCAGAGTACACCTTCTTCTCAGCAGTACATGGATCATTCTCTAAAATAGACCATGTATTAGCTCACAGAACATATTTAAACAAATGCAAAAGAGTTGAAATCATCGCTTGCATGTTATCGGATCATAGCGCTCTGAAATTAGAAATTAAAGATAAAAGATACTGCAAAAATCCCGCAAACACATGGAAACTGAATAACATACTCTTCAGTAATCAGTGGGTCACAGAAGAAATTAAACAATACCTAAAAGAAAATGAAAATGCAGATACAACTTACCGGAATTTGTGGGATGCAATGAAAGCCGTCCTCAGAGGAAAATTTATTGCACTGAGTTCCCACATCAGGAAAACAGAACGAATACAAATAAATAACTTGATGCTACACCTCAAACAGCTAGAAAAAGAAGAGCAAGTCAAGCCCAAAGCCAAAAGAAGATAGGAAATTATAAAAATCAGAGCAGAAATCAATGCAATAGAGACTAAGAAAACAAGCCAAAGAATCAACGAATCAAAGAGTTGGTTCTTTGAAAGAATAAATAAAATCTATAAGCCCCTAGCCAACCTTATTTTAAAAAGGTAACAAAAAGCTCAAATTCGTGCAATAAGAAATGAAAAAGGTGAAATCACTACAGACCTAATAGAAATACAGAAGATCATCAACACCTATTTCGAAAACCTCTACTTTCAAAAGTTTGATAACACAGAAGAAATAGACAGATTCTTAGAAACATATGAAGTACCAAAGCTAGATCAAGAGGATGTAAAACTGTTGAATAACCCAATCTCTGTTAATGAAATTGAAAATGTAATTAAGTCCTTACCTACAAAGAAGAGCCCAGGCCCAGATGGATTCACTGCAGAATTCTACAAGACATACAAAGAAGACCTAATGCCAACACTCCTGAAACCATTCAAAGAAATTGAAAGGGAAGCAAATCCGTCCTAAGTCATTCCTGGAAGCAAATATTAATCTAGTACCAAAACCTGAGAGAGACCCAATTATAAAAGAGAACTATAGACCGATCTCCCTAATGAACACAGATGCAAAAATCCTCAATAAAATATTGGCAAATAGGATGCAGCAAATCAAGAAGATTATACACCATGACCAAGTGGGATTCATCCCAGGAACGCAAGGATGGTTCAACATACGTAAATCAATAAATGTAATCCACCATATCAATAAAGCCAAAAGTAAGAATCACATGATCATTTCTATAGATGCAGAAAAAGCCTTCGATAAGGTCCAACATTTATTCATGATAATAACTTTACAGAAAATTGGAATAGATGGTCTTTACCTCAATATAATAAAGGCTGTGTAAGACAAACCAACAGCCAGTATCATACTAAAAGGCCAAAAATTGAAAGCTTTTACTTTAAAATCAGGCACAAGACAAGGATGTCCTTTATCACCACTCCTATTTAATATAGTACTGGAAGCATGAGCCAGAGCAATTAGGCAAGAGAGAGAAATAAAAGGGGTAAAGATAGGAAAAGAAGTTAAATTATCATTGTTTGCAGATGACATGATACTCTACATAGAAGACCCCCTAAGCTCCATTGCAAGACTCTTAGATACAATAAATTACAATTGCAAGACACTTAGATACAATAAATAAAATTACTGAATTCAGTAATGTGGCTGGATACAAAATCAGTACTCAGAAATCAATAGCATTCCTATACACGAACAACAAAATCACAGAGAGGGAAATAAGAGAAACTACACTCTTCACATTAGCAAGCAAAAAAATGAAATATTTAGGAATTACTCTTACGAAAGAAGTGAAAGACTTATACAGTGAAAATTATAATACACTGAAAAAAGAAATTGAAAACGATCTTAGAAAATGGAAAGACATCCCTTGCTCATGGATAGGAAGAACAAACATTGTGAAAATGGCCATTTTCCCAAAACTGTTATACAGATTCAATGCAGTCTCAATAAAAATATCACAAACATACCTTATAGATCTAGAGAAATCACTCCTAAATTTCATCTGGAACCAGAAGAGACCTAGAATAGCAAAGGCAATTCTAAGCAGCAAAAAGCAGGAGGCATCACAATCTCTGACTTGAAGTTATACTACAAAGCAACAGTAGTAAAATCAACATGGTATTGGAATCAAAACAAAGCCGAAGATCAATGCAATAGATTAGAAGATACAACCACAACTACAAACACACTTAACCACCTTATCTTTGATAAAGGAGCCAGGCAGGTTCACTGGAAGAATGACAGTCTCTTTAATAAATGGTGCAGGAAAAACTGGCTCTCCATTTGCCGAATACTGAAGCTAGACCCAAGTCTATCACCATGTACTAAATTAAAATCTAAGTGGGTCAAAGATCTGAGTATTAAAACAGAAACACTAAATCTATTGGAAGCCAAATTGGGTAGAAACCTTGAAGACATAGGAGTAGGTAGAGAATTCATGAACAGGACTCAAACCGCATGGGAAATACTTCCCAGAATCAATAACTGGGACCACTTCTTATTAAAAAGTTTCTGCATGTCAAAAGAAACCTCCAGCATAGTGAAAAGAAAACCCACAAACTGGGAAAAGATTTTAGTGAACTCTCTCAGACAAGGGACTCTTGTCTAAAACATATAAAGAATTAAAAAAAAACTCAGACCCCCAAAATTCAAAGATCCAATCCAAAAAATGGGCATCTGAGATGAATATGCACTTCTCAGATGAAAAAATGCAAATGCCAAATAAATACATGAAAAAATGTTCATCATCGTTGGTCTTTAGAGAAATGCAAAGTAAAACCACCCTGAGATACCATCTCACTCCTGAAAGAATGGCCAGGATCAAGAAAACCAACAACAACAAATGCTGGAGAGGCTGTGGGGGGAAAAGGAACTGTCCTACACTGTTAGTGGGAGTGTAGACTGGTGCAGCCTTTGTAGAGATCAGTCTGGAGATTTCTCAAAAAGCTGGGATTGGAAGTCGTATTTATTCCAGCTATTCCACTTCTAGGAATATTCCCAGAAGAACTGAAAGCATCATACCACAGTGATATGTGTGCACGTATGTTTATAGCAGCACAATTTGTAATCGCCAGATCTTGGAAACAACCCAAGTGTCCATCAACTGAGGAATGGATAAAAAAGTTGTCTAGTATTCCTATACAATGGAGTATTATTCAGCTATAAAGAAGGATCACATTGAGATATTTATCAATAAATGGGCGCAGCTTGAGACCATACTCATAAGTGAAATAAATCAATCTCGCATGTATGAATACCGAATAGTTTCCCTAATGTAAGTAATGATTCAAATATATAAAAGTCATGATTCCCCATTATGTGGCCTTGATGCCTTATAAAGTTTTCACTTATTAATTGGAAAGGCTTTATTCTGGGCTTCTTGATATGGAAATATTTGAAGCTATAGTATATGAAGTTTTATTCAAATATTTCAAGGAAAAAGACACTATGGTAACTACAATAAGTCGGGTTATTTGGTGGTGAAGCACTAGGTTGCTGAAACAGTTATGCTTTGACCTGTATTGTTACATTGTTATGTCCTGTTTTATCTCAATCTCTCCCTTATTCATTAAAAAGTTATTTTATTTTTTTATGTTTTTTTAATTAAGGGTAAAAATTTAAAAAATTAGCAGGATGTATAATAGTAACTTTTTTTTGATTTCCTATTAACTTGTTTTGAAGTCCCATAATAGTCCCACTATCTTGTTTTGACTGATTACACTCTGTTCCATTCTGTATGATAGTATCAAGTTTGAGGGTATAGGCAACTACTTTGAAGGCAATAAGATTCACTAAGATGCCCATTCTGGTTTGACTATTGTCTCCTTTGGAAGTCCTGTAATGTTTACAATGTTTAAGTTTTATCAGCCTTGTTCTCTACTGTTTTGTTCAACTTTATAATATCCAATGAGATAGACAATTCTTTTTAAGGAAACAAGAGACATTGTTGATAAACATTGTTGATAACCTTGTACTCTGTTTTACATCATGTGCTATGTCTATCCTTGGTTTCGACTGACAGCTTTGTTTTGCCATATTTGACTTTAGTCTCTCCCAAAAAAAACAAGTAATAAGAACTAAGGAGTAATAAAATCCAAAATGTGTAAATTTTGTTGTAAAAAAGAGAGGGAATAAAAGAACTCAAAAGGATACAACAGCAAGTGTGTTTAGGAGTGTTAAATAGCTGACCATATTAATGTTTTTGGTTGGATCACATATTAATGTTTTGGTTGGATTGAACACAGCTGTTTGCAGTCTCACTGTTTGAATGTCCACTTTGTATGCTTTGATACTGTGATTTGAGCAACTATCTCTAGGATGATAATATGTAATCTATTAACTGGTGATTTCTTACTGTTTTTTTTTTTTTTTTTTTTTGTAGTTCTGTATTACTTGTACCCTTAAACCACTTTGTTTTGTTTTGTTTTTTCTCTTTTTCCTTTTAAATAAAATTAAAAAAAAAAAAGAAAGTAGTAACAGAGAAGTGGCATGGAAAACATAGTTCCTGATTTTCTGAATGTGAAAAACCTGATTTTTTTCTCCCATTTTTGCTTGTGTTTTTCATGAGTGTTGCCTTCTTTTAATAGCTTAGATGGTTAATTAATTTCAATAATACCCGACACTATGCTGATAGAAACCTCTAAACTGAGATTTTTATATTCCTCATGTGCTGTCATCATAACTAATAATAATTAGCTCCTCTGTTTTTTGTGTTTGAAAGGAGCCAGATACATATGTAAAATTTAGCTGTGTGGCATAATCATCAATAGAGATGAATATTATAGCCTGTAAGATAGCTTAGTAAATTAAGGTATTTGAAAAATACACAATTATGTATCTAAGCGCTTTTAAATAATTCATCAAATTACGGAACGGGCAGGATTAAAGAGTATCTATACAACCAACCATTGATAAAAATATGAAATTGAATGTCTTTTATTTAGATTATAAGAATATTTAATAGAGACACTAGTTTTTTGTGTTTTTTTTTTTTTTTTTTTTTTTTTGTCTTTTTCCTTTTTTTATCGGTACCGGGGATCGAACTCATGACTGTCTGCTTGTAAGGCAGGCGCTTATGCCGCTGAGCTAAATCCCCAGCCCCTAGAGACACTAGTTTTACCTTCACAGTAATACAATGTTATACATCCTTTTTCCTGTTCTTCACTGTGAACAAAAATATTTAACCACAGTGATATGAAATAAAAAATAAAATTGGACTGGAATGTAGCTTAGTGTAAACATCCTGGGGTTGATTCTTAGTCTCATAAAACGTGTTTGCATGTATGGGGGAAAGTTAAAGATAAATGATTTATTGCTCTTAACTGAGACAAAGTTGTCTTCTTTTAGCAACTATCAGTGGTATTTTTAGATATTACTAACTTACAAGTCATTGTTTTACATGTTAAAAAAAGTATATTTCTGTTTTACAGATATTTGAGATATTTGGACCTGTGGCACATCCGTTTTATGTGTTGCGGTTTAATTCTTCAGATCACATTGAAAGTAAAGGTATTAAAATAAAGGAGACTATGTATTTTGCTCCATCAATGAAAGATTTTACCCAGTATGTTTTTACAGAAAAGCTTAAACAGTAAGTACCCTATTGATATATGAGCTGTTTACCTATCTGACATTTTCTATTGTAAGAGTACTTGATGTACGTTGAAAGTAATATGAAAGGAATATTGTACCAAAATTATTTAAGCTCCATAAGGTTTTCCTAAATAACTGCTGATAAGAAAAATAAACGTGAAAGTCATATTTTTAAATGTTTTAGAATGATGTCTTAAATAACATTTCATTCTGGCTTGAATTTTAAGATGTTGCTGTGGATATGCCATTTATTTAGCTTTAACAGAATAGCTTAAAACAGGTAACTGAAAAGGTTTTCTGAAAATACTTATTAGACATACTTTAGATAATAGGAACAGTTTTTTCTTTATTTGAACTTCACGTGCAAAGAAATAAACATAATGCAAAGGACTGGAAAGTTAGGTCGTCCTTCTGAAGCAACACCTGACCATGCGTTTTAGGATCTATTAGGGGAACTTAACACAAATATTCCCCATTTAATGACACAGAATAACAGTTTAACAACAGTTAGGACCTACAACCAGGGCACACAATTTGGACTTATAATCTGTATTCTTTCTTTCTTTCTTTGTACAGCTCTGTGTGTCTTGTTTGTAGAGCCTCAATGTCCTTTTGGTACACTTTGCTGTAATTTTTGCTGACTGTACAGTACTGTAGTTTTACGTTCCATTGTATGTTATAGTACTGCACGTAGGAGTTATACAAATAAAAGCGAAGTCATCAGGTTGAAGTTTCCTTTGACCTTTTTTTTTGTTTTGAATAACAGTTTTATATAAACTTCAGGTATCAGGAAATAAAATTTAAGAGATCTACAAAAGCACTCTGTCTACATGCTACAGCTTTGGATTCACATATTCATTCTCTAATCGTAATATTTCATGAGTCTATAAGCTTACCACATTACTTAAAACAAAGTGAAGGACACATAAATGGTGTGCTACTTGGTACTATAGGAAAAGGACATACATGCTGTTATATTTTTGTTGATAGGTATTACAGAATTTAAGTTTGAACTCCTGTCTTGTACTTCAGTATTTTTCATACTGTTTTAATTACCTAACAGAGTCTTATCAATAAACCCTTTTTAGCGGGCGGGTGTAGTGGTACAGGCCTGTAATCCTAGTACTCAGGGAGGCTGACGTGAAAGAATCTCTGTGAGTTTGAGACTAGCCTGTGCTACATAGCAAAGCTGTGTCTCAGAAAATAAATAGATAAATAAATAAATCCTTTTTTGACTTGTTTATAGGGATAGGGGATCAGATGCATCATGGAAGAATGACCAGGAGCCACCACCAGATGTAAGTATAAGTGTTTATAATCAGTATTTTATCAAGTAGGGCATTTTAATAATTTGTAATAATTATTACCATATCACCGGCCTTGAAATTTTGTATTTTTAATCTATTTTGTTAATAATCTACTTTGTTAATAAAGATAATCACTATTTAAAATATTCTATTCAGTTTAATAAATTAATTATAGAAAATGAAAACATTTACAGAAATACTTTTAGTAAGTTGCCCTTCCTTTGGAGCTGGAAAATCATTAGAAGCTGTCTACCTCCCCCTATTTTACAATATGATTACCTTCTTTAAAAAAGACCACTTGGTTTTCTTTTTGTGTCTGTTAGCAAGATAGTTTTATCCTTCAAGGTGGAGTGATAATCTAGTCCTTCTAGAAGTGTGAAGTTAATTTGGGAATAATATATAAGTGAGTGAATTATGTAGTAGTTGGTTAATTATGGAATTTTTTTTTCTTTTTCTTTTTTTTTTTTTTTTGTCCTTTTCGTGTTTATCGGTACCAGGGATTGAACTCACGACTGCCTGCTTGCAAGGCAGGCGCTTATGCCGCTGAGCTAAATCCCCAGCCCTAATTATGGAAATTTTTAAGCTAATTCTCACTCAGTTTTGCTCAGTTCTGAAAAAAATTGTTTCAGTACAATATTACAGTTTTTAGTATTTGCAGATATAACTTTATTTTATATGTTCTCAGGCAATGTCAAAGATCATAATCTGTGTTAATTTTTAATTCTGATGAAACATAAATCAGGTTTATTCTACCCTTATAGGCCTGTTTTATACAGGTCTGAGTCACTTAACCAGTGAGCGATTCTAGTTTAATATCTTGTACATTGAAATGAAAGTGTTTTCCACTGGATGTGACACATACATGTGATTCCTATTATTGCTCCTTATATTCACCCAACATAGTTATGTTTAGAATATTTTATTACTGAATTTTTATGTTTTAAAAGTATTTGAACATTCACATAGATCTTAAAATATATCTCTTGTGATGTCAAGATACTCTTTATATGTCCCTGTTGTTTTAGACCTAAGCATTTAAGTTATTTATTATGATACTGTTAGTTGCTTATGGAATTGGACAATTAGATTAGATACAGAATTAAATCCTTATGTTTCATTCATTGTGTTTTGTACATTGCAGAATGGATCATGAAATATGTTCTAATTTTGTAGTAGTTATTATCATTAGGTAGTCCAGAATTGCTACCTGATTCTAATCACAGATTAAAATTTGTTAGGTTTAGCCTAAAAATAAAAAACAAAAAATTATGTACATTGAAAGTGGGAAGTTTACATATAAAAGAAAATTGTAGAGATTATGAGCTGTGAAAATGTTGGGCTTGCATAACATTTACTGGAGCCTAACTATTCTCAATTAAAACTTTTTAATTTCCCTTGTTCTTGAGATGGTGCACAGTGATTAAAAATGGTTTAATGATCTGTGAGGAGCAGCTGAGCTGGAGATTGACCACACGTTCAGGGCTGGAGCAAGGCCAGCTCTGAGAGCATGGAGCGCAGAGGTGCGAGCCATATTAAACAAGTCGATGGGACTAGAGCGAAGCCAGTCCAAGACATGGGCTGCCCTTGGCAGACTGTGCAGACTAGTTGATCTCTAGCTGATTTGTATATCAGCAGGTGTCTGGCCTTGGTGTTCCTTCCTGTTAACTGCGGCACAGGCAGCTCAGAAAATGCTTCAGTTGCCATGTTCTCATAAAACAGAGACCTTTTACTGTAGATCCCGTCCTCACTTCCCCTTTTCACTTTGTATAAGTAAAGATGCTGGTGCCAGGATGGCATCACTGCCTCTCCATCAGAGACCACATCCCACTCGGTCCTGGCTTTCCTTTTATTATGGGTCTTGTCTTAATCTCCCATCACCTCTCTCCGGACTATGCACGCTATGCGGGTCATGGCAGTAATCTTTACTTTCATTTTCTCTGATTTTGCTACAGAAAAACCTTCAATTTGCCTTACACAGCTATTTCACTTTCTGTATATACTGTGTTCCTTCATGCACCTGCATCTGCACATGTTGTTTGCATTCATTGATGGCTTCCCCTCCCTTCTTTCTATGGCTAATTCCTCATTAGATATCTAGCTTGAGTTATCCATCCCAAGGCCTATTCCCTTTCCTTTTTCGTTTTTTCTTTATCAAGTCTCATGATCCTGTAGCACTAAACCACAGTACTTGTTCATTATATCATTGGTTTATCTGTTTTTCCATTTGACTGACCAATTCAAAGAAAATGCCTTCTATGTGATCTCTGTATTTTCTGGTGTCCAGCAGATAACCATGTTTTACCTGAATTTAAAAATCTTAATGCATTAATAATAAAAAGTCAGCCTCTTGAAAGCACTAAAATTAGTTGATGTTTAAAAATTTGATTATAGATTCTGAGGTATGTGTACTGCTAGCTTATGGGGGATTTGATCTAAGAGTGTATTTTATCAAGGCCATGCTGAGAATTCCATACACAGACTTTTATATTTATTTTAAAATGTATACATTGCCTACACAGTCTTTTTTATATGAAACATATCTCTTTTCCAGTGTTAATAAAAAAAATACCTGAAATACAAGAAATCATGCCATTGTGAATCTTTTCTGGTATGCTGTGAAGCCCAATTCTTAGTTACAGTGGATTTTATATTTCTAAGTTAATGTGAGGTCCTCATAAAACTCAGTTCATACATCTCTTATGAAAGCCCTTTTCCTCAGTCCAGAATAAATAGTATCCCTATGATTTTTTATACTGTTACTTTCCCTTTCTTTATAGGTTTTGCTATTTGAAATTAAATTATAAGAGAAATTAATACTGTATACCTGTGAAGAATTAATCTTGTAAAGAATTTAGAACAGGGCTGGCATATAATGGGTATGTGTATATTTTTGAGTGAATGAGTCATGGAACAGGGTTTTTATTTTATGTTGAATCCAGTGGTATATGAAAATGTTTAATTTTGACTGCTTCCTTTGGCAGCTGGTGATAACGGTAAATCTGGAGGTCAGACTTCTTAACCAGGAATACCCTTATCTGGAGAAGTTTAAATAGTGGCATTTGGCTACGCTGATTTGAAATTTTCTGTGAATTAAGATATAAAACCAACCCTTGACTGCTCATTGTGATTAATGACTTGCATTAATATTCAGTAGACATTTATCAAAAAGCCTCCACTATGTTAACATGTATGAGGTGTGAATTGTTTAGTTAGAAAAATCATATTAAGGTGAAGACACATTACCATTAATCCCTTCAAAATAGTCCCCTTTACTTTGAACACTGCCACTTTCCAAAGCAGCTGTGGAAGTCCTCTTGTGAGAGTCTTCATTTGTGTTCTTATGGCTTCCTTCCTAATAGACAGATCACACTGGCCTTTTGTATTTCATTCTCCCAATCTGCAAACAAGACTGTGCAAACCTGGTGGCCCAGTCTTTGGTGGCGGATTGGATGAATGAAATAGATGAAGACATGCGGTAAGTTTTTTTAGGAGCCACGATAGGTGGCATATTCCAACAGCATTTACCATGTTTTTAATCATATCTTATAAAATAAAAAGCGGGCTCAGAGTGTCAAGAGTGTCAAGAGTGGGATAAGTGCATTCAAAGCAAGGGGGAAGACAGAGGGGCTTGTGCCTTTTACTTTGAGAACTTTTTTTTTTAATTTAAATGTGGTCTGAATTTGTTAATCACATCTCATATAATTAATTCACTTATTAGTAGGTAATAGAATTGAAACAGACAACTTGTTTTCATGTCAGTTGGTAAATAATAGATTTATTCTCACCTCAAAGTATGCACATTGAATTGCAAATACATGTAATAAAAATTGTATATTTTTATCTGCAAGGCATTAGATTTCAGTGATGATGAAAAAGAAAAAGAAGCCAAACAGAGGAAAAAATCTCAGATTCAAGGTCGGAAGAAACTAAAACCTGAATTTAATGAGCCAGGTGAGTGAATGCAATATATAGTCACCCTTTATCTTCATTTGTGTGTACCTGTATCAGTAACAAACCTGAAGGAACCATCCGGGGTGCTTGCGTCTATCTTCTCACGTCCACCTAGCATTGAGGTGTTAACTTGGCATGGGGTTTGACAGGGGACAGTCATAAAGAACAGGCAGTGGTAGTTTTATGAGACTAAGACTATAAAAATGTCTTTCCAGGAACAGCAAACAAGCAAGACCTTGTTCAGGTCATCTGTACCTACCAGCCCTTTTTTTCTTAAGGAACCTATTTGCTGCTACATTTAAAATTTAATGGTGTGTACTGCTTAATACTGCAAGTCATGTTCTTTTTTTTTAAAGTTTTGTTTTAACCTACATTCCTTTTTTATCGTACTTAATTTTTCCATTGTTTAAAATCAGACTTTTTGAGAGATAATTGTAAATTCATATATAGCTGTAAGAAACAATAGAAGAGATACTCTGTGCCCTTTACACTATTTGCTCCAGTTTTCGTATCTTGCAAACCTTGTAAATACAGTAACACAATCAGGAATCCTGGCATTTATTCACTGAAAATGGGTGAAGTTTCCATCGTGGGAAAGCTTGTTGCCTCCGCTTATTTTCTTCTATGTTCCCTCAAGTTGGGACAACCACCTGTCTGTTCTGCACTTCCCTATTATACGTTGTCATTTCAAGAAAGAGGATGAAAAAATATTAATGTGCATTATATGTATGTATCAGTCCCCTAGAATGTAAATTTCGTGTATTGCATACATATACCAATAAAAAATCGTTAATTTTTTAAAAAAATGAACATTACATAAATGGAGTCTTACAAGTGAGGATTTACCTTACCACTGACCATACTTTTCTGGAGATCCTTTTGTATCAGTACTATCTCATGATGGCAATGTATCACAGATTGTTAATCTTTCAGTACATCTGAGTTTATGTTTTCTTCAATGTAACATAAAGCTGCTACTAATATTAATGTAAATTTTTTTGTGTATGAAAACTAATTGTCATTTCTCTGGAACAAATAGGCAGGGGTAAACTTACTGTTAGATAACAGTTGTAACACAGCCTGAATTTTTCAACTCCTGTACTGTTTTTTTCACTGTGATCATATTATTTTAAATTCTCATCAGCTATATCATTCTCACCAGTTTTAGATGTTGTCATTAGTCCTTTTGTGGGTAGTGATATCTAATTGTGGGTTTAATTTGCATTTTCCTAATGGCTAGCAGTATTGAGCCTCTCTTCTTGTGTTCATCTGCTCTGTACCTATACGTTTTCTCCAGTGATGTTTGTTTCATGTCTATGGTATATTTTCTAATTGTATTTCTTTTACTTTACTTGTATTAAAAGTATGTTTTAGAAATTAGTCCTCTGTAAGACATGTGATGTATATATAACTTGTTATATGTATAGCTTTTCTTTTGATTTTTCTAAGGTTTCTTGCAGAAAAAAGTTTTAAGGAAGTCCAGTTTATCAGCTTTCCTTTTATGGAATTTAGAAACTTTTTGCATACTCTTAAACCCTAAACATGTTCTGTTTTATCTTGTTCCACTCAATTTTTGTAAGCTTTTGTTTTACATGATCTACCTTAAATTTTGAATAGGATAAGATGTTTTGATCAATGGTCACTCTTTTGGTTATAAATGTCTACTTATGTCTGCACCATTTGTGCAAAAAGGTATGGTTCCTAAAATGAATTCCTTTAAAACGATTGTCAAGAGTCAGTTTTGCTGTATTAGTATTGACCTGTTTCTGTGTTCTGCATTTTTTTCATTAACATTATGTATCAGTATAATGATGTTGATTGTTGTAGTTATGTAGCAAGTCTTGAAATTGGGGGAGAAGGATAATTGGGACCTTATTCCCTTTTTTTAATTATTTCAGCTCTTCTAGTTCATTTGCCTTCCCCATGTAAATTTCAGGATTATCTTCTCTGTGTCAGCTAAAGTTTTTCTAGGATTTTTATAGGAATTTCAGTAGGTCTGTGTAGCTGAGGTTTCTCATTGTTTTAACTTACATTTCTCTGATGACATGACACAGAACATATTTTCATGTCCTTGTTTACCATTAGTGCATCATCTTTGACTGGAGCCCAAATTATTTGACGGGTCTTTAATCTAATTTTTCTTATTGTTTAGTTTTAAGGGGTTTTTGTGTATTTTTATAGTAGTTTTATGTCTTTGTAAATATTTCCTCCCAGACGATGGCTTGTGTATTGTCTTCATATCTTTCACTGAACAAAAAATTTTAATTTTAATGAAATTTATCAATCTCCATTTTAATACAATGTCTTTTTTGCTCTGTTCTAAAAGTTACCATGAACACAAAGTCGTCTACCTTTTCCCTATGTCATTTTGAGGAGTTTTATAATTTTGCATTTTATATTTAGGTCTGTGATACATTTTGAGTTCTTATAAAAGGGTAAGATTTGAGTCTAAATTGTTTCTTGCATGTGGAGCTCCAGTTTCCAGTATCAGTTGTTGAGAAACTGCCTTTACCTCATTAAATTTCCTTTCCTCCTCTGTCAGAAATATACTGATTATATTTCAGTGGGTCTCGTTCTGGGTTCTCTGTCTTGTCCCATTGATGTGTGTGTTTTGTTGTTGTTTTCTTTTCTTTTCTTTCATCAATATTTCACTATTAATACCACAGGTTTGTGATAAGACTTAAGATCAAGTACTGTCAGTCTTCCAGCAGTGTTCTTTGGTATTATTTAACTGAGTTTTTAATTTTCATTATTATATTGTTCTGTCCTAACATTTTTTTTAACTTCTTTTATCTTAGACTTTGTAATTTTCATTTTTTAAAATGTTCATAATGTCTTGTTGAAGCATTTGTGTGACTACATTGTCTTAGTTAATTCTAACATCTTTATGTTGTCTTGGTTGATTTTCCCTTTTCATTGAGTTTGAAATCTTACTGTTTTCTTGATGTTGAGTCACTTTTGTTGAAATGTGGATGGATTGTGTATCATAAGACCTTAGAGTTTATGTAAATCTTCTGCTTAGGTCAGGTTGGTTTGTTTTTCAAATGCTGCATTGTTTTGACAGGGAGGGGGAGAGTAGGCTGACATCCAATTTCCCCTTCTAATACTGCAGGAGAAGGGGTGCCCCATTACCGCTGCGCGAGGGGAGAAGTTGTGACTCGCGCTGGATCAGGCAGGAGCTGCTGGCCACTGACCTCTGACAGCAGCATGGCATGGCCTCTTGCCGTGGAGCAGTGAAGGCCTCCGTCTTTACTGGCATCACAGTGCACAGGGGAGGAACTGAACTGTTTAGCTGCTGGAGAAAGTACAGCTTAGGCTTCCACGCACTCCTTCCTCCCTGCTGCTGCTGGCGCCTGGCTCACTGCCCAGGACCCTGGTGGCGGCAGTGCGGGCTGCCTCAGCCGGGCTCTCAGCCTTTGAGGTGGCGCTGCAGTTTTTTCTGTGGTGTTTGACTGAAGTTATTTTCTAAAATGTTTCTGACCTACTAGGCTTCTTCGTGATCTTTGTCTTTTCAGTTTGCCTTCTCAGTTTATTTTAGACTGCCTTATATCAGTAATTAAAGAAAAGGCATTCCTAAAATTTCTAACATTGCTTTTTGATATAGTACTACACTTAATTTTAATTTTGCTCTGATGTATTTTTTCCCCTCTCAAGGCGAAGATTTTGCTGAAGTACATCAGAATTGGAATGCTTCAGAGCATTCAAAAGGCTATCACAGCAGAGAATTCACACGGGGCTTTTCCAGAGGCAGATACCCTCGACCTGGCCCCAGCAGGCCTCCACCGCAGCAGTTTTACACCTCGGAGCATATGGTGTCTCCAGAGACTTCGGGATTTCCACCTCCACGGCAGGACAGTCCCATGGTGCCACAGTATCCGTTTCCACCTCCGATGTTCGACATGCATAACTTCTCGCTCCCGCCACCCCCGCCGCCGCCGCCCCCACCTCCATCTGTCAACATGGGTTGGGCAGCAGCCAGCGTGCCACCTCATCCGATGCTGAACCTGCCGTACTCCCTGCCGCCCCCTCCACCGCCTCCTCCTCCCCCGCTGCCTCCTCCACCAGCTCCTGCGGACAGTAGTGCTGCTCACTTTGGACCTTACTATTAGGGGCGTGCAGCGTTTGCTGAGAAGTTCGGACTTTCAAAGTGTGTGTATTGAGGTTTTGTTTTCTTTTTTTAAGGAAAAGTAATTACAGAGCTAGATTTTTACAAACACTGTAAAATACTAATTGATTCAGTTGTAAGTTGATACATATTTGTAACTTTCGTGAAAGTGTATTCATACGAAAATTTTAGCTCAAATTCTTGGAAGTAAATCCAGTTATGTAACACAGTATTTAATTAAAACTTTGAATCATGCTTTCCTGTACTCCCACTCATAAAACAGTATGTGTAGTAATGGATATGGAGCAAGTTCCATCACAGATTAAAATATATTAACACAGATTGCCTTGTCTGGTAAAATCTGAAAATGAGATGTCAAAGCCCTATGAAGAGGCTTTGAAATAAGCTATTTTTATAATCTTATACATTCAGAATTTATTTTAACTATAGTGTAATTTAGCAGTAATTAACCCTAGCCCTTTAAAAAAAAAAAAAAGCAAGTAAAAAGTATAGAAGAGAAAAACGTTGTATATTGGGAGAATCTCTCAAGTTAATATTTATGCATTTTTAAGTTTCCATTATCTATGCAGATTTATTTAGGCACTATTCTGAAAGCTTTACTGTTTAACCACTTTCATGCTAAGATATATTTAGAGATCATTGTCTTCTGTATTTGTTTCACATATTTTTACATGCTTGACATAGGTTATATGCTTAATAAATATTTACTGAGTGAATTTGAGTTTTTATTAGTGATTAAGTTTATGTCATTGAGTGTAAATATAAAGGAAATTACAGAATTTTAGAGCTGGAAAAGGCCTTCAAAGTCATCGAAACGATTTGTCATTTAATAAATGAGGAGCCTAGCTAAGGGTTCCAAAGAGGCTCAGTAATTTGCTGAAGGTCACTTACGCATTGAGATGATGATGAGATGATGAGTGGAATCCAGCTTTCTTCTTTCTTAGATTAGCGTGTTCCATTAAATTGATGCTTCCTAATTTTTCATTCCTTGACACACTTAGAAAATAACATTTGGCACTTGGAATGAACCTGGAGGTGCTCATCGCTAGCCAGTGTATCTGATTGCATTGATATCCTGTTTTGCCTCCCTGTGGATCGAGGACTGCTGGATTCTTAGTCTATAAGTTGAGAGGCTCTGCCTTGACTTTCCCATGTGTGCATGTTCTTCATTATTCTTTTTTGGGGTGTTTTGGATTCTTCTCTTTAGGAGTTACCTTCATAGTTTATGGTAAACAGTAGTTTGTTTGGGGGAAGGGTTTTTTCCCTATTGATAGAATTTAATGACATACTGGAAAACTTCTAAAACCTTTTTTAATTTCTGTAACTCAAGTTCTGGCAATCTGACCATGGATATTTAGTGTCTAATGAAATAGAAAATTGAATTACACCTTTCATTACCTGCTTTCAGTTAATCTTTAACACTTAGATCTGCTTTTTCTTCCTTCCTGTACTTAATTCAGGGCTTTGGAACTTTGAGGTTTCTAGAAATACCCTGGGAAACTTCTTTAAAAATTAATATTCTTAGGCATGTATTTTCAAATTTGATTTTAATAGTAGCTAACCCAGGTAGCTAACTAAAAGACTTATTCTTAATGTACAGATATTTTAGGGCAAACAAATTACCATCGCTACAAAATAGCATTTCACTTGTAGTTTTATCTTGGAGGTGTACTTTGTCAACTACGTTGGAATTCGAGGAACCCAACTGTCATTGTTTTAATGTGTTTCATTCAAAATTCATGTGATTAAATTTAAACTGCATTGTGGTGGTGCTGAGTTAGGCTTTTGGGGATGTGATTGCATCAGGGCACTTCCCTTTTATCAGTGGGTTAGTGTCTTAAAAAAGTATTGCGGGAAAATAGTTTCAAGGTCCCTCCTCTTGTGCAGCAGTAAAGTGTCATCATGGAAGAAGGGAGCAGCCCTCTTCCCATCCCAGACAAGCTAACATCTCCATATTGACTTTCCCAACCTTGAGAACTGAGGAATTAATTTCTATTACTTATGTAGTGTATGCATTTTTTTATAGCTATAAACATAGACTGAGAACCAGCTGAAAAAATTCTATGGGCATTATCACCACTTCAGTCTTACAATGCTTTTCACATATGAATGATACAGTAAGTGCTACTTAAAATTTTCTATGTGCAATTTCTTGCTTTGAGTAGAGAATCTAAATATTGACCTTTTTATTATGATAAATGTCATATAGGTACGGCCAGTTGGAATACAGTGAGTTCATATTCTGCACCCTTCCACTACAGGGCAGGCAGGCTAGAAGAAAGTTTGAGCTCTGCACCCTTCCATTACATCCCAGACAGTGGAGCCGGCTGGAAGACAGTTCATGGCAGCCCAGCTGGAACAGTGTATGACCGACAGGAACCCCAAGACCCAGTACAACAGCCCGGTGTACAAATGTGCACACACATTTGGAGGGTGAAGTAATCAGCACAGTCAGTAACATGGAAGCATTTGAAGCAGCAGCAAGGAGCCGACAGTTTGTTTCTGGAGAACCCCTCTGATAGAAGACCAGTCTGAGCACCCACATCCAGAGGCAAGATCAGCTCCATATCCAGCATATCTCTGCAGTGTAACAAACACTATCCCAGAACTCTCAACAGGAAAAGGAAGGTTCCTGGGGGAGGGATTAGAACCAACTACATCTGGAGGACATCTTTCCTGCGTGAGAGAGGCCTCTGCTAGTGATAGAGCTATATATCATGGGAGGTTGATGGTCATCAACAGACAAAAAGAAGGTGGGGAATGACAAGATGCGTAAGTGCAGTGCGGTACTCAACAAGATGAGTGAAGTTGAAAGTCAAACACTAGAACTTTCTGAAATAAGTGAAAAAAAGTGGAAAAGGCTATAAAGGAAATGATCTCGAGTACAAAAGGAAGTGATTCTTAAAGATACTAGAGAAGACAAAAGAATGGGCTTAGATGGAAACAAAAATGCCCAATGTAGGAGTGAAATGAAACTCCTGAAACAGATTAGGGATCCAGAAGATTAAAGCCTCTACTGAAAGTATATGCCACACTGAATGCAGGAAAGGTTAAAACTTCAGCTCTTGAAGACGAAATCACACCTAGTGATTGTCTAGAGAAACATATCTCAAAAATAGCCAGAGATTGTGAGAAATCAATCTAACAGCTATAAGACAAAGCAAAGAAGAGTAACACCAATTGGGGCCAACGAGAAAACGAGACAACACAAATGCCTTAACAATCATAAGTACATACACATCTAGCACAGGAGCAACCAATTACCTATGACAGTTATTGGTAGATAGGGAAAATCATGAGTAGTAAGGTGTCACAGGAGATCTCAGTACTTCATTGTCACAGACACATCAACTAGACAGAAAATCAACAAAATATTAGAGCTGAAACCTGTGAACAAAAGGAGTTAATAGGAAGAAGCCACACCCCAAGGTTGTTTGCTAGCAGCCCAGAGAGCTGACAAATCCATTGTCGCTGGAGAAGAAGCCACACTGAGGCCAAGTGCCAGCAGCCTGAAGAGATCTACTGAGCCCAGCTGGGGTCCAGAGAAAAAGCCACGCGCTGAGGCCCTGCCACAATTGGAGAAGCATTGTGAACCACTGCCCTGTGCCTTTCCATCACTGCAGGAAACCCAGGTCAGAGGAACCCAGGTGACTCATCCCATCCACTACACCAAGGGACTGGCAGCCACTGCAGGAAGCACCTAGGATGCAGCAATGGGCTGATTTAGAGGAACACAGGAAAGTGTCAAGACAAAATAGCTAAATACAATCTTAGATCTCCAGTCCACACAGAACAAGTTTAGGAGACACAGACAGTAGAAATTAGAGATCACACACCTGAAATTTCTAAAAGGATAACTGAAGTAGAGAAGCAACTTAGTTCTTATATTATTTGGCTAATTTTGCATGCTTATGTCTGACGGTCTGGACAGCTATTTTGAAGATAACAAGAGGCATTATGGTAGCCACTGTTAATTTTCTGTTATCTTGTTATAAAGGCCTGTATCATTTTCATTTTTTGGTATGGTTTGGTTTTATTCTGTTTTATTTGAGTTTATTATGTCTGATGGTATGGACAGCTGCTTTGAAGAAAATATTGTATTATGGTAACCATTGTTGACTTTCTATTATCTTGTTTTGAAGTCCTGTGTAACTTTGTTTTGTTTTGATTGACTTTATTCTGTTTTGTTTGATTTGGTTTTATTCTCTTTAAAATAAAACTTTAAAAAGCTCCTTTTTACAGTAAGACAGGTCCACAGTAATTGATTACTTTCCTCCTTGCTGAGACACAATCTCTGACAACCCACAAATTAAAGGAGGAGAGATATTTTGGCTTCAGTTTCATAAGGTTTAGTCCATCACTGGAAGACTCAAATGCAGAAACAGCATCATGGAAGAGCCTGTTTCAGAGAAAAGCTGCTCACATCTTGTGAGCCAGAAAGCAGAAAGGAGAGAGATTCTCCCAGGTCAAACCCCCAGTGAACTGTCTCTTCTGACCAGGTGATTCTCAATAGCAGATCGGTACACCACCTGTATAATCCAATCTCTTTCCTGAACTGCGCTTCTAAACATGAGCCTTTCAGCAGACATTCTAGATCTAAACCCTAACAGTTAACTTGTCTATTGAGTAGGTTAGAAATGCATAGTGAAAAGACCAGATGGACACTGTCTAGTGGTGGCCTGGAAGTGAATACATTTTTAGGATTTACTGGAGTATTACTTTACTCTGTCATTAGAGCAGAATACCACAAATTGGAATTTTTAATGAGCTGGCTCTGGATTCTGGAGACTGTTAAGTCCAATATCAAGGTGTTGGCATCTGTTGAGAGCCTTCTTGCTGCACCATCATATGGCAAAAGCAAGATGGAAACCTTTTATAATTAATATTTTCCACTCTTAAAGATGGAGTCCTCATAGTCTATCCATCACCTTAAAAGTCCCATGTTTTAATGCCACTGTAGTGGGAATTAAATCTCATCTTAAGTTTTGGAGAAAATGTACATTCAAACCGTAGATGGAGATTTTGTAAAACTGACATTTCATCTAATTACATCATATAGTTAAATACCAAAATAATTTCCTCTCCTTTTATGTAGTGAAGTAATTAGCAGCAGACCCTAAATTAGCACCCAAAGGGACATACGTAAATGTAAATAATAAGCAGTGGTTGGATGTCTGTGGGAAAAAGTATCCATTTGTTTTGGAACAATGATAACTATAGTGTCCCTGCTCATTCCCCACTTCCCCACCCACGTTCTGATTTGTCACTGCTCACCCCCACTTCTTTATGCCCTACCTTCTTTTTTTATTGGCTTGCTTAGAGCTGGTGAAGGCCAAGTACATTTTAAAAACTTCAGGCCATTTGGTGAGTAAGAAATAAGTAAAATCCAAGTTCCAGTTTATTGTAATTTTAAGCTAGTTAATAAATGTGAACAGATAGTATTTAAGATCTCAGATATTAAAAATCTTAAACATATTTCAAAGACAAGGTTTCACAAAATGCATACTGTTTTGAGAAAACAGAATCCCAGACATAATTATCATTTATTATATTTCTTTTCAATAGTAATGCTGTCATGTAAGTTTAACTTTATAAGACATGTTTAACTGGACTAAACATTTTCTAGTGTTTTACACAAATTTCCATTATTACTTCTGTTGTAGAAAAGACAGCCTCACTTCTGAATCATTCAAGTCAAGAACAAGCAAAAAAGGAGAAATAATTCCTTGGTTTACTCTTTACTCTTTCCCAATCGGCTTATCTAAGGTCTTAGGGTAGCCTTAAAAGAAAAAAATGTTAAGATATTGTCTTCACATACTCAGGGTAATTTTAAAAATAGTCATGTGCTTCTGTTATTGTTTGGGGAAGTAAGTACAGTATTTTGCTAACTATTAGATTCATTAGAAAAAGTTAAAGAGCTGGATTAACATGTAATAAATTAAGTCAAATGTTCATAAAGTATTTGTTCTTACATTGTTTTCTTACCACCGAAGATAAACTATGAAATAGAGATATAAAAAATAGTTTTAGTAGAGTGACAGGTGGAAAATATTTTTAGAATAGAGGATTTGTATTCCTGAGAATTCATCATAAGGTAATGTTTCAGTTACACTATTTATAATGCAGTGCTTTCAGGGTCAAAGAGAAAAAACCTATACATTTATGTCATTTTCTGCGTTTTTGCCAATGTCCTGAAAATCTAATCTTTGTCATTCTGTAACTTAACTGAAGTGTATGTGGATATAGTTAAGATATGAATGATATGTCCTATGAATATGAATTTTATGAAATTCTAGAAAATCAAGGAAACATTTTTACACTGTTATTGAAACTTACATTGAGAAATACCTTCTTAATACTACCAAAATTCTTTCATAAAACAACTATCAGTAATGACATTACATCTTATTTTTGACTCTGTGCCTAAATTTTTATTAGTGAATTAGACATGAACACTTACTTAGTGCCCTGAAAACAAACTACAAATGGTAAAACATTTAATGAAAACAGGCAGTGAAGAAAAATTAAACATTTTCTTCTGCACACTCAATGGAAATTATATGTGTAGTATGTATAATTTATATTCATTTATTCATGTGTATATTGGAAGGTTAGAACAAAAAGCCTAAATGTTAGGCAGAGTTCAGTTGTTCAGTACCTTTTATTCCCACATATAAATAGGAAATGGGAATGAACTTTACATCACAGTACTTATAGTTAGCCACATTACATTATCCCCCAAATAGAACGAACTGACCTTGTTCGTGTGGTAAAAGCTTTTCATTTATATTGGGGATAGATGGGCCAGAGATGCATTTAACAGGAGATCTGACTCAAATAGGACAAATACAAAGACATAAAATCTATTAGCATAGAGTATTAAAATGTGATAAATGATTGTGGTCCGTGTTCAGAGGGTAGAGACGAAGCAATGTTCTCAGTACCAATAATCAGTACAGTGTACAAAGCCTGTTATCGGACCTCTTTAAGCCTTTTACTGTGTGCTCCCATGACACCTAGGAGTACTGGAACACATTTGTTCTCTGCCCTTCCCACAACTCTTGCAAATATCTGTTTGATTATATATTCTGCAGTGTTTTATCTCAGACATGATTTGGCACCATCAGACTCAATTATGGTTGCTGTCTTAGTGTCTGATTTATTCAAAGCAAATGATTAATTTTCCTTAACACTTAGTTTTTGGCTAAGTGTAATTGCTGATATATTTTTGGTGACAATATGAGTTCAAAATGAATTCTGTTCCGCAAGATAATGGATGGAAAGTTAAGGAAAAAAAATAGTTGCAGGCATTAATTTTATTAATGCAATCAAGTGCTATTACTTTGAACAATATGAAATTGCTTACAAGATCAAAATTTCATGTGGTTCAATCCAGTGAAGACCACAGTGTATACTTTCCACACCTTTTTTTTTTTTTCATATTATCTCCCTTTTCCTCCACATAAGAAACACTGTCAAAGGATACCTGGTATAAATTATGGAACCACATATCTCAGAGATACTTCATCTTGGTAAGAATACAAACATTGGACCACAAGGGCCAGAATAAATACAAAATCTTTAGTATTAGATTAGTGTGAATTCTATGGCTCTTAATCTGGGGTGTTTGTCCCCCAGTGTTTGACAATCAGCGAGAATCTGTGAATTCTTCATTTTTCTGGGAGAGAGAATCTATGGCTTTTATCTCGTTTTCAAAAATAACAGTGAAGAAAAAGGCTACAGACAGAATTATTCTTAAGGTTTTCCACTTTTGAAGCAAGTATAAAATATAAATGTTTGTCAGATTTGACAATGCACAAATCTTTTTTTAAAAAATGTTTATAAAAATGTATATATAACATTTTTAAAATGTTTATATATGTGAATCATAGTTTTGAGAAACATTGGATTAAGCAAATATATATGTTTATATCTGCAAGAGTATCTGTGAATCTCTTTAAAGGAAAAATGTACCACACAATGTTGGATTTAAATAGCTGTGCAGGAAATAGTTTTGAATGATTCTTGCTGGAAATAGAGAAAATATTTAATGGTCTTAAAGATCTAGAAAATGTCTAGCATGTATGCTTCAGCCTGGTAGGCAATTTAATTTTAATAGACTATAAATGGAAAATAATTCTTATACTGAAAGGGACACTAACTTGCTTAATAAATTTAATTGTCTCCATTTTACAGTTTACCCCAGACATATGTGATAGAGTAAAATTTGAATTTATTCCTAAAATCTAAGGACATTCTACAAATACTTAAAAAAAAAAAAACACTAAACAAAAAGGCTTTTATTGCAGCAGTGGCAAATTTTTATTGAAAGCCCTAAAGGGGTCACCATCACTGCTGTAGCGGAATACAGAAAGTCATCCTGAAAAGTTTTCCAAAAGAAGAGAAATGAAGGCAGGACTAGAACAAAACATTCTTCTAGGCATAACTGTAAAGGCGTTTTTCCATTTCCTCTGAGTAAAGAGCCGAGAAGATTGTACATACCTCACAACTGGATAATGTTTGCTTTAGAGAGCAAAATATACAAATTGCCCATATAAAAAAAAGTGATTCAGTCATCATAATACCTTGGTAGTTTTCACAAAGTTCTAGACAAAGCACACATTTAGATCCTTCCACATGGAGGTATCTACACTGGGCAAGGCACTTCTTGCTTGTACCCAAAGTAGGAAAGGAGCAGTACATATTACAAAATGCTCATTTAAAATGTTTCTTTTCTAGGGCTGGGGATGTAGCTCAGCAGCACAGCAGCTATCTGGCAAGAACAAGGCCCTGCATTAGACTCCCGGTACCAAAAAAGAAAATAGGGAAAAAAAAAGCCCCTTTAAAATATTTCTTTCTTACTGAATGCAAAATGCAACATAAACACAGACGTCAATTCTCATCAAAAGCTTTTCATTGTCAGAATACTCCTTTTATTGTAACTGATTACTTAATATTGATCTTGCCTTTCAGAGCATTATCTCCATGAGGGCCAGCACTTTTTGATCACATCTGTTTCCATTCACAGCAAATAAAATGTATTTAAGAGACGTCAAAATTGTGTTTCCAGATACTTATTGCTGATTTGTCACTTCTGTGATTCTCCTTTGTGTTTTTAAACATAGAAGCTATTTTCAGATGATGTACTATTTTCAGAAGATGAGTGATAATTTTATTTAATAACTTAAAAAATATTTCTAAGATATAATAAACCTATTTCAATACAGAAATCTAGGTCAGCTGTT